CGCATGAGGGCCGAAGCATGGAACGACAAGTTGCAACGAACCAACTGGACTGCCCCATGGCCGGGCATTCATAAGCAGCCCCCTTGGCACACAACGTTGGGTAACCAAACACGCCTCAGGACACTGCGGGGTCGACGGATGCAACTTCGAAGAAAGTGGCAAGACCACAGCAACTGTCCGCGAAGCGGCCTCGAAGATGAAGACACCCTCCACGTGATCCTCTGTGACTCCACCACTTCTACAGCGGAATGGAAGAAGACAAATGACGGAGCTGAACAAGTGAGATGAGAAGAGGCACACCCACCCCAGACTCCGAACACAGATTCTCCTCCACCTCAACAGGTGGCACCAAGGCGACACCACTCCACCCACACCACCCGATTGCCAACCTCCATCCGCCAAGCCATCGCCGACCAAACCAACCTTGGCTGGTGGAACTTGTTACTTGGCAGGGTCTCCCAATCCTTCAACACATCCAAACACACTACCTGCAACGACTCAAGAAGAATGGAGATGGCCTGGCTTGGACCAGCGCCTTCATCAAACAGATCTTGGAGCCTACACTTCAACCTTTGACCAACCGAAATGAAACCGTCCATGGCACTACCCTCACTCCCACCAACTATCCCAACTGGACACACTACGCGAACGGGTTCGACAACTACACCCAAGGCACCATAGCCTACTCCCCGCGACCACTGGAGAGTCCACCCGGACACCACAAACCCACACCCTTACATTCACTATCGACAAGACAACGAGGCTTGAATCTACCCCCTGGCCGAACAGAGTTCCAGAAGCAACTTGCTCCAGGAATCGACAGCTCCAACGGCAACAGCAACTGATGATCACACATTTTAGTCTTAATCCGGATTAGGCCACTGCGCCCCCGGTCACTCCACGAGGAGGCATTCATTGTGGTAGCGGAGAAACAAGGACCTGTCCCCTCTCGTTGGGACGGAGGTGAAAGACGAGTAGACTAGTTAGCTAGTTACCATCGTGCTTCTATGAGGTACATCCTCTTGTTTCAATGAAACTGAATGCTATTCCCCTCGTGTCGTGCGAACACCCACATAAACGACTCAGTTGCTTGGGCCCTCGGGCTCGATTCGTACCAGCGTTGACAAAGGTCCTCCGGACCAGATAGGTAGTCTGCCTAAAACTAGTACTTTTTATACACTAGGATTGCCATCGTGCGATGCACATGTCTACATCCAAATCTCATTAGAGTGCCCCGCACTTTAAATCATATGTTCTCCTTGTCCGACTGCTGTCGCGCCTTCTGTGACCCTTGTCAGGGGCGAATGCAATACACGGCTCTTAGCCTTATTCGCGACTCGATCCTAGATAGGGTTTGAGTTCGACTCATGACTGAGTCTCTCGTGAATAGTCATTTGAGACAGGGTTCTCAATGACCGCTCTGGTCATACTAGGTTGATGTAAACATCGCTCATATGTTGATTAGACGTGGAGTACTTGCCTATCTAGATCATTCCTACTCCCTAGCTATAAATCCAGCGTCACGTAGAGATCGTGGAGAGACGGATTACTACCGCAACCTACTCTATCACACTTTATAGTCTCCCGCGGGAGGCCAGATCTACGATCCCTTGATGATGATCTCTCTCGTTGTTTTAGTTTTCATAGCTTTCTAATCTCTCTCATAACTTTCATTCTCTCAAACTCAAAACACTCGAAAGATCTTTACACTAGCTTTTAGCGTAGTGCATTTGGGGTGTGGAAGTCAGGAGTTAAAGCAGATGAGGTTGCAGAAGGTTTGAAAGCTTTGAAGCTGTCAAAGGCAACTGTTTTGGCAAAGATAGAGGAGTTAAAGCAATCCAGAGCTGCTAAAGAAGATGCAATTGCTCCATTCATCGCCAAACGGAGGGAATGAGAAGATTTTCTAGACGAAACGGCACAGTATGCTGCTGCCGAAGAAGAAGACGACAGTGACATTGATAATTGAAACTAGATAGTAGTTATATTATGACCTAGATAGATATCGAAGTAATCACTTTGTCTGGTGCTGCTGATACGCGTGCTGGAGAGCAGCAAAAAAGAGTCGCGGCTGCTCGTCGTCATTGTCAATGAATGGAAGCTGAATGCAGATGCGATCAAGATAAGTCTCAACGTTACCAGGGAACCTCATTTCGATCACGTTTACAAGCTCTGAACGTTCCATTGATGCTGTTCAGTTCTTGTGGTCGATCAATCGTCCATTTTGACGTCTTTGGCAAGGGCACAACCAACTCAGATCCAAACAAAGTAGCAGCACCGTCCTTCTTTACAACCGCCATTCGAAGCCGAAATTCGCTCTGACTTCCCACCAACTGTTGTAGCATGACAGTACCTTGGAAGTGATTAACCGTACTGTCGGGCCGGCTATAAATCCTAACCGATGCTCTTGATTGAGCCGATGCATCTGCTGCCAACGTGCAAAGAGTTGTCCAACCCATCTTTCTCGAAATGTGTGCTCGGTGGCCTGTCACATCAATGGCATGCACAATAGAGTGGCGGCTTCAAGAGATAGAAAGGAGGTGAATTGATGGCATTCAAACAGCAAGCATGCACCCTTTGACTTGATTCAAATTAGATCATGGAGCCTCCGCCTTCCGCAATAAGCCCCAAATTGCCGCCAAAAGTGGAGTCGAGTCGACTGCGTCTTCCTCACAACTCAGATAAGCTGCGTCTTCCTCACAACTCTGACTCGCAATCGATCAAATATGGCTTCTATCAATAACAACAAGACTTTCGTCTCTGACTGGTTGACGCCTGCTGCGGCTGTGGCATTGCGCTTGGCCCTGGAAGAGTTTGATGCAAAAATCGAGGAGACTGGGAACGTCATGACGTTTTCATTGCCTCCCGTCCCTCCGGTCGCTTCCATGCCTGTCGCTTCCGTTGCTTCCATGCCCGAGGTTGCTCAGCAGTTTGAAGATCTTCACGTTGGAGAAGAGAAGAGCGATGGGTCGGTCCAGCAGCAGGAGGAGGAAGTTTCCGGAGGGAGCGAGACCGCCAGTGAGCTCGATTTCGATAGCAATGAAGAGGATGATAGGATTGCAGCTTTGGGAAATCCAAGGCCTCCCTCTTCCTATGCGCCTTCCTATGACCGCTACAATGGTGGTTGTGGCGGTCTCGATTCGCAGGATTTCCATTTCTAAGCGGCTGCAGCGGACAAAGGTTGGTCATTGTCACTGTTTTCGTTCGATTTTGTGCCTATTCTCCTTCCTCGCTTCTTAATCTAACAGGCAGCGTCCACCTCCCGTTCAACAATGGACTATCCCATTCATTCTCTCCTGATAGCACCACCACAAATACAAGTGAATGGGGAGTTTCCTCTTGCGGCAGAGGTGGTGTGTCGGTTGCTCATCTTGTTGGTGTCGAAGCACGGTGGGCTGGCAACGTTAGGGTTGGAGTGATCCAACGATGCACCGCGCCAAACTTGTGACAGAGCATTCAAATTATTGATGCTGAATACAAACATTACGAACATAAATTTTATCTAAAACGAATATATTATTCAAGTCTTACACACAAGAATGACCAAGCGTGCTTAGAGGGACCGACCAGTACGACATCTCAATTGATTAACGACTGGCTGGGCTAGATTTAAGAGGATCCGTCTTGTGCTATCCTTCGTTTGGGCTATTTGTAAGCGGAGACCTCATACCGGTATGCTGTACAATTTTTTTTGTGGCAAAATGGATGTAAAATTTAAAAAATGAGATCTGGACTTTACTATTTGCAAATTGCGTAAAATTGGTTCAATCAAATTTCAATGTTGTTTAAATTTGACAAACAAACGGTACAATTACTCACTCTTACTTTTCCTGGGCTCGTTGGAACTCTTCCGTTTGCTCTTGGAGACCTTGCTCGGACGAGACGGAGAAGCATGCTGATCAGAGCTCTGGATGAGTCCTGTGATGTTGTGATCGTGCTTGCCTGAATACAAGTAGCAATGTACAATCCACCAAAGCAACAAAGATAGTCTAGTCAAAGTGGTATGTGAGTCCGAGTAATAAGTGGTGTGAGTCCAAGCTCTAGCTAGTGAGCCTTTAGAAGCAAACTCTGAACAGCTCTCCAATCGAATCGTAGTAGGTTGCATCTCAAGCAAGGAAAAGGAGACTTGCTTTGAGTGTGACAATAATCTCAAGGTTCAAAGTTCATGGACTACTCGGATCATCAAGACAATCAATCCGGTGGACAGTCCACATCCGCCGCCGCCATGCCCCCACGAGGACAATCTAATGTACTGCCTCCTGTCCCCGAAGACGGATGGGAGAATTTTTTCGAGGACGAATTGGGGCAAAAACCAAGCAGTGGCAGTGCGGATGATAGCAGTATCAGTAGCAGTCCTTCCCGTCGTGTATCAATAGATCCTCCAGGCTCGACGTTGCCGTATAATCGAGAGGAGGAAGAAGAAGAGGAGGATACTACCAGTCAAGCCATTGATCAACCCTTGGCGCCCAACCTGATCACCGCCAAGGAAATGGGAGGAGGCAACCATTCGGATTCGGCGCGGACCTTTGGTACATTTATGGAATCGATTCCCGAAGAGGGAAATTCCATGTTGAGCACAGCCTCCTTTTCCTTTCTCCAACCTCCACCGGCTCATCTACTCCACAGTACGGATGATGATGATGATGATGAGTTTTCCGACCAACAATCCTTCTCGGGAGACGTCGAACAAACCATTATTCGTCTTCCGGAAGATGATATTGATCATCCACCCCTGCAAGAGCAATCCTTGGCGTCCTTGTCGTACGAATCCTTCGCCGCCGCGTCGTCTCGTACGGGATCTGGCTTGGCGGCTCCTGCCAATGATACCGCAGCGGCCGAGGAAGGACGGGCAAACCAATTGAATATCGACGATGATGATGATGATGGACTCCCTCGGGGACACGAGTTGCATGTCGACGACGAACAACGACAACAACAGGAACGACGCAAACGGGCCATGATTCCCGCCGTCATTTATTTGGCTGTAGGGTTTCTCTTTTTGGCCGGAGTGGTTGTGGCCGTGATTATCCTTGTGGGTGGAACGACAGCGGAACAAGAAGAACCCATGATGGTCGTGGCCACACCAACGCCCACCACCGCCATGGATACAGCAACAATAACAACAACCCTAACCACTATGGCACCCACCCGGAATGCCACCATTTTCAATCTCCTTCCCAACTTCACTCGCGAATCCATCCAGTCAGACTCGAATTCTCCACAAGCGCTAGCCTATCAATGGCTCTTGGACGACAATGATGCGGGGGAAACTCTGTTGTCGGAAGATCGCATCCTCCAACGATTTGCTTTGGCCACGTTGTTTTATGCGACGAGAGGACCTACCGAGTGGCTTCAAAGCAATCATTGGCTCAATCATAGCCGGCATGAATGTGACTGGTTTCAGAACAAGGATCAATACACCGTCTTGGGGGCAACCTCCAACAACGAGACCATTCCGGATGGCAGTCCTTGTTGGGATCCGGCGTCTCCCAATCAAACGGATTCTTTGCAATACCTCCGTTTACAACAAAATCAACTACAAGGCACTCTTCCACCCGAATTATCCTTGTTGACTAACTTGGTCCGTTTGGACTTGATGTCCAATGATCTAACGAATACAATCCCCACCGAGCTGGGACAGCTGAGCCTTCTGCAAGTTCTTGGGTTGTCGGAGAATCCAAGTCTGGGCGGAACAATCCCAGCAGAACTAGCTTCCATTGGTTCCTTGACTCGCTTCTCGGTGGCAGATACCAATGTGACGGGCCAAGTACCGGACGAGTTGTGCGCCATCGATACGATTGAATTCACCTGTTCCAACCAGCTGTGTGGTTGCGTATGGTGTGCCTGTGAGACAGCAGCACCCGTGGAAGTGCAGACCACCAGTGACGGAAACAACTTTGGCGCCGAACAAACTGCCAAGCCAACGGAAACAGCTCTTGTGGAGGTGCAGACCACCACCAATGATGGAAACGAATTTGTCGCCGAACAAACTGCCAAGCCAATGGAAACCGATGTACCAATGCCAATCAACAACAGCAACACAAACACACCGCTGGGCATCACTGTGCCAGTGCCAACCAGCGCGCCCACTAGCGGCTACTTTGATATGCCGCCACTCGAAACCAGTACACCCACAAACGGTGACACCAGTGATATACTGGGAACCGATGCGCCAGTGTCAACCGGCACACCCACGAGCGGCGACACAACCAACATCCCCATGGCAACCAGCACACCCACAAACAGCAACACTGGAGGGTTCGTTGGTGACACAACCACGGGTGCACCCACAGATGGCGTGACGACAGTGAACACGGACGAAACGACCACGACGGAGTATGGCGAAGACGGCAACAGCCCATCCGGTGTTGTCAACACCAGCACGACAAATCCAGGTGGAAGCGACGCCAACGGGGCTGTTACGCTGGGAATCATAATCGACGCATTTGCAAACGACAACGCAACTCAGGCTGTAACACAAGAACAGGATTATGGCAGCATGCTAATCGGGCAAGTCGAAAATTTTCAGTATGTTGAACCGCCGTGAGATTGATTCCGAGCATTGGGAAGGGGCGATCAAAATGTGGTTCGAGGGCACGGTAGCACCGTAGAGGCAGCGGCTTGCCTGCAGTTGCTGGCTTACTGTAACTAATACACGTACTTCAACAAGAAGGCGGCGCTCTCGCCAAGGATCATTCCCTTTTGCTGGATAGCTGGAAGAAGTCCCAGTAGGAAGCACTGCTTTGTTCGTTTCGATAGCTGGCTGTCTAGTACCGTTGACTTGATTTCTACACCTGATATCGGGACAACCGTCCCACCTTTGGCATCTCACCTGTATTGAACCGCCGTGCCACAGAGACGTACTGATTCTGTTTGGCATCCGAAATTCCATCCAGATCAAATATCCATTCTAGTCCAGCCTGTATTCCACTGGTTTGTAACCACTCCTTTTGATCCTTGGACAATGGCTTGGCAAGCACCAACACGTAAATGCCATGCTCCCGAATGGCAAACGCCGCCTCCATGGCCAGTTCGGTGATTGCTTTTTCGTCGTCCAAGACCAGGACGGCTTCCATGAGTCCCTGATCAATAATGCAGTCGTAGACGGCGGCTTGGCCTGTAGCGGGCGGACGGGCCAAGCCAGAATCGTTACCCGGATTTTGAGATTGTTGTTGTGTTGTTGTCACTCGCTCTGTTCGAATCATGGACGCACTCGTACTGGCAGCATGCTGCTGCTGAGTATTATTGGGCACTGCCAGATCCGATGGAGGCTGATCCTCGTCGTCTTCTTCAATTACGGCTACATCCACCACAGCATCCGTGCTGATTCGAAGTTCGGTAATCTCCGCTTCGGACTCTTCTTCCCAGGGTAACTTTGGTTCGGGTGGTTTCGCCGTTTGTCCGGCGATATCTTCTCCCACCACTAAACAATTGAGATTGGATGACATGGGTGGACAAAAATCGGAGAATCCATTTCGATGAAAGGCGTCCTGCCACTCAAGAAAAGTAAACTCCTCTTGATTCAGCCGTTGATTCCAGAGTTTCAGGCCATTGGTTGAACTTTGATACTCATTTTGAGCAGAGTTGTGAAAGTCCAATAAGAAATTGTCCGAGTAGGATGCTACGCCCTTGTCGATCCATTGCTTCTTCTTTTTCTTTTTTGTCGTCTCGTCGCAGCTATCGCCATCGCTGTCGTTGGCTGCAAGCGGTGACAAGCTTCTTATTGATTGCTTCAAACTAATACATGTAGTGGGACCAGCAGTGAAACCAAGGCACTTCCAAGGCACCACCAACAGGACCGCAATTACGTGCAGCACCGACAGAGGGCAACTTGCGGTCCATGTTCGAAGCAGCATCAGCATCATTGTGCTTGAATGGTAGAAGTAGACATGGGTTGTCAATAGATACCTTCGAAAGCTGTCTCCAGCTTTTGCCTTGAGAGTTGAAAGAATATCTTTAGTAAACCAACAGAGCTGAATTAGTAGAGGCCCAATCGCTCCTGCTTTTGACTGAGTCAACTCTTACAGCTCTGCTCTCTTCACATCGGTTCATGAGGTACATTAGGCGCCAGCCGGCACTGCAAAACGATTTAAGGTTTCCACGAATGATCATGAGCTCGGCGGACTCCCAAACCTCCGACAACAACAACACACAACAACAAAACGTTCGAACAAAGCCCAAAACACGCTAGAAGTCTGCTGTTTTTGACATCCATCCATTAGACCAAAGCACCCAATGAACACACAAGGCTCTAGGGCGACTATGTGTAGCAGGACAAGGGTGGAAACACCCGATTCGACGGCATTTTTGGCCATTGTCGAAAAATGATGAGTTGGGAACAATTTGAGGTTGATCCTGCAATATTATTGCAGAACGTGCTTTTCGCGCCGGGCAGCTATTGTCCAATCCTTGGGGTGCTGAACCGATGTGTCTTGCTTGCTTCTTTCTCCCAACTCCCAAGTGGATTGATCTCTGAACTCTGAAGTCCAGTCAATCACGTACTGGTGGCATGTTCTGGACAGGTTCTTTTCTGTAGGCTCAGTACGTTTTCTACGGTGGACATTACCTGTCTTGGGTTTACCTGTTTTGCTTGGGAGGTGAACAGACGTAAGTCGTGTGCTTCCACTTTGTTGAATTTTTGAAGTATAACTCACGAGAGTTTCAAATTTTTGATTTTGGTTGCCACACCCGTTTGGTTTATTGCTGCTGCTGCCGTTTTCAATCATTTAGATCCACCAGTGTCTTGAAAGAAAGAAAAAATGCATGTCTTTGGTCTTTGGTCCTTTGTTTGGTTTTCTGTGCTGCTGACGACCAAGAAGACTTGTAAAGTCCATGCTCGAGTAGGTGACCATGAAAGCTCCCCACCAGGAGATGAAACACTGGCACAATTACCAGAACTGAACAATCCGCACTCCAGCAGCCATCCAGAACAACGGAACCTTCAAACTTCCCAATGTCCGTCCGTATACCCAGATCCATCCGAGATCAAACTCCTCTTGAGCAAAGAATTCTTTGTCAACTATGTCAACCAGTCCCTGTATATTTCAGACATTATCAAGGCGCAAGATTATGGGCCCATTGAGGATTTGGTACCTGAACTTGAAAAGGTCTATGAGCGGGTCGATGCATTTAGTGATATTGATGACCAGGCTTTGATCGTCAAAACCAAGGACACGCAATTATGTTTTGCCGCCTTTCAAGCCAGTGATCGAGGGGATCGGATGGTAGAAGGCTGGATTGGCTACATTCTCGGTACGTTTTTGTGCGTGATATTATGTGTGCCAACATGCTGGCAGCAGCTGCAACGACTGATGCGAAACCAGCGCCGCTGGTTCCAGGAAGGCCATTTTGCCATACGCTCATCAATTGCTCTCGTTCTTTTCCCCATGCCGTAAACCATCGCAACAGACCAGGTAAGATGACAGACGAAGCTGCACTTCTTCCAGTCTACACAGCAGCAAACCGAGTTCTAACCATCATTCTTTGCGACTTGACACCCAACCAGTGGCACAATATCAACCCCTTCACCTATAAGATAAAAGGAACTGACTGCAAAATCCGACAAGGTACCTTCGATGCCTACAACACTACGTACAAGGTTGACTTTCGGTGAGAGAGATGACCCACAGACGCACCCCACTTTGGCAGAAGATTAAAATCCAGCTATCTCATTGCATATTGTTTGTTTTATCACTCTATTATAGGAGAGCTTTGAATGCTTGCGTTGAATCTTGTGGAGATGAACAATGTCCACTTGTGCTCGCAGGGGACAGCCAAGGAGGAGCCGTGGCCATGGCTGCTGCTATAGATGTGACCCAATTGTACGATCCAACTGTAATCACATTTGCTGCCCCGAAAGCCTTGGTCAAATCAATGCCTTGCTCCATCTTGAACACGGAAAAACACTTTCGGTTCGTCAACACAGATGTGCAAGGCAGGTATGATCTCGTTGTGAACCAGGTAAGTAGTCTACAGAAGATGAATCTACAGCCAATCAGGGACGCTGATTGCAGCGTGCAACTCACATATCGCCTTTATCCGGGGTTTTCCAGGTGAACATCTTTAATGAGAAGCACACGGGATGGACTTTGTTGCTAGACGACATCAATTTTCCGCTCGGTTCGCCGGGCCTGGACGACAGTCGTGATCGATGCCCTGGGACTAATGATCTCCATGAATATACGATTTATAGAGACCGTGTGCAGGCGATCATCGACCGAGATTGCTTTCCACTCCCAGTGGGTGGCTGGCCAGATGGCCACTATTGCCGATTTGACGATGAATGTCAGACGAACCAATGTCATCAACGGAGATGTAAGCGAGGCTTATAGTAAACCGTAAAACGATCTTCACGTACCGAACCTCGAGAACGCCAATTGACTGTTTCCTTCTACCATTATACAAGTACCTCTGCACTGCTCCACTGGCCGCAGCAATTACATGTTGCTGTGGCCAGAGTTATGTCATCGAATGAGAGGACGTGAAGTTACCGGAAAGGACTCGGCCGCTTGCAACTCGGCTTGCATGAAGCTTTCGTTGTTTCCCGGTACGAGTACTAGCTAGTAGCCCCCACTCCAGGAATACATGTACAAGGAGCTAGCCAGTAGCACGGTTGTTCGCGGTTCGCCGTCCGCTACAATACGTTGTGGACGATGCTGTTTGGACGTGATGACTCATGTGTACCGGTAAGCTTACGAGTACGGTACGGTTAGCCAGTCAAGTGAAGAACGGATTACAACAGCTGGGATCAGCCAGGATCTAAGGGAGAGACACCCCAGCTACCCTCGAAAAAGTTCGTGGGAATTGGATCTATTAACAGATTGTCTGGGAAGGTAACATAGGTCTTAATCAATGGTCGGAAAGTCAAGTGGAAGGCAACTCGGAAACAGCGTCGCCTTTGCTAAGCTCGTGAACACCACGACGAGTTCGCACGACTTTACTGCATACACTAATGAGGGGAACTACGGAACTACCCTCAGCAAGAAACATTGTTATTATTATTAATAATAATTGCACACAAGCAAAGCGAGATGCTGAGAAATAGAAATGAGGACAAAACTGCAAAACTGTCCTGTCTTCCTCCTTTTTCCTTTTTCGCCGGATGGCTTTTGCAACTGGAGTCAACAGGCTAGAACCCTTCGGAAAAACTGAAGTGCTCCGGGGTGGCTATCGGTACGGTAGCTGTTATTTTTGTACGCTGCTTTGTCTTTATCTCACAAAGCATCACCTCATCACCTCTCAAACAAACCAAAGATCCACAAAACAAATCAACCGACGATCAAAAACCAACCGACATCGCACGTATATGAAAAGCATTGAATGAGTATGAGATTTTGCCCGGAATATCTGCAAGTGGATCTGAAGATGGATCCCAAAGTGAAGCAGCTAACTGACATGGCCAAGGAAGTCAAAGAAAAGGCACACTCGTCCATAGGAGAAGATAAGTTCAGGGCATTGCCTCCTGACTTCGTGCCTACCGAGTTCAGTGTTATCTGTGCTCGAGGAAAGCGTGCCTATGAGAGCAAAGGAAATACTTGGTTTAGATCTCTGGTGGCTCAGTACGCCCACAGGTATGCAACTGCGTCGACCAAAATGGAGAAGTCGGTGGTGGTCACAACTATCGTTGATACGGTTCGAAAAGCAAGTCCAGTAGGCAGCTTCATCAGGAAGGTTAAGGGACAGTGGCAGGAGGTGTCAGAAGGGGTTGCCAGGGAACGTGTAGGACAAAAGTAAGTGCTTCAAGTTTCGCGAAGGAATCGCTGTACCGTGCCTTACATGTTTCCATCTAACCACGCTGATATTCTCCGATGACTTCAATAGGCTAAGAGACACCATCGATGCCGACTATCGGTCAAGCACCCACTCAAAGAGAAGGCGCAGGGTTTGTGTTGCGTTCGGCAAGCGTGAAAAGAGCAGTAGCAATAACAGTAGCAGTGAAAGTAGCAATGACACCAAACCAAGCGCCCAAAGTGAGGGCGTCATCGGCAAATCGGACCAGCATGTGGAACACAGTCGCCTCGGGTTCTTGGATGTTGCTAGGGAAGCTCGTGGTATCCTTGAGCCTGCTGATGTGAACATGTCAGCAGCCTGTGACATGCCTGGTCTAGCCGGAGTCTCGGACGCTCTCTCCAACCAGCTCCAACAAGAAGCCTTTGGACTTGCGGACGGCTTCCCCGAAGCGCAAGGTGTTTCCTCTGCCGGAAGAAACGATTGCTTGACCAATGCAGTCAGGATGTTCGAACAACATCCTTTGATTCCGCAAAGGACCATGGAAACTGATGTTTCCAATCTGCAGACAACGAATAGCTTCGCGGGGAACTTTCAAGCTGATCAGGGCCGTTCCGTCGGGCCCATTATTCAAGACCCCTTCCTCCCTCGAATGAACAACTTTGCGGTAGGAGCACAACAGTTCCTTTCAAACTCGGCAACTGGGAATGCCGATATGGGTCGTTCTGTAGGCCAAATGAATCAAGATCCCTTTCTTTCTGGGATCAACAACTTCCACCCAGTAGACAACTATCGTGGGCTTCTTAACCGCAACATCTCGGTCATTGGAGACGAAGCGGCCGACAATGCTGACACAAACGAAACCTTGGAAGATGTCTTCAACTTTGAAGAAGTTTGAATCAACAGAGAGGATACCGGGTAGTTTTGAGTCAGTCAACATCAGGCTTCGTGAAAACCGAAGCACAGATTTCCATCCCTATCATTCGATGCATAACCTTCTTTAGAAACAGCCAAAGATTTCACGGATGTTGTCTCGTCCATTCCAGCTGCCCAACTTTTAGAACTTGATAGGATATCCTGTTGTCATTCGTTCTTCCTCCTCGTTTTGGGCAATCGAGTCAAGACCAGAGGGGACGAAGTTACGGTCTTGAAGGCATAGAGACAAGCGTTCCAAGTTTCAATTTTCTCCAATGGCTGTCTCAAACGTACTCAGTACATCCTTACGCTTATCTTGGCTGCGAAGGTTGGACAAGTTGGGTAGCAGCACCTCTGCCAATTGATGTCAGAGGCTTTGGGTATTTCCCACTGCTTCCAGAAACCGAGAAATCCATCAATCTCCCACCCAGCTGGAAAGTATAGAGTCAACCCTGTTAGCTTCGGGAACAGTTTGGTCAAGGCTCTCGCTTGATCCAGATTCAGTGGTCGTGTCCCACGCCGTTGAGACTCTGGATAATCCATAACTTCAATCTTGAGGAAACCGTTGGCTGGCGTAAATTCGTCTTGATTGTACTTGGTGACCAAAAAGTCAAATATCTCGGGTGGTTGGCGGCTCCAAAGAGCCAAGAACCAAGTCTTGCGACGGTACTTCTAGACTGTGTGGAAGTACCGGCTTCAAAGTCTCGGGTGGAATCCGGTGCCGACTGTTGATCATGGCACAGTGAAAGGGAAGATACCGGTACCCAATATATGCGCCTGGGGAACTTTGGGTGTTTTCTTGGCCAAAGATGCGATCACTTGCGGGTTCGAATACTCCCATGCTACATGCAGAGGATGGTTGTAGCACATGTCCTTGGTCTTGAGGAGTTTCGAGAGGAGGCGTGGGCATCCCTGGCAGAGGGTCTTGATGGAAGCAAAGTCTTCTTTAAGAGGCAGTGTAGCGTCGAGTAGACGGTACATCGTAGGGGCGTAACGACAGGACGGGAAACAATCGAAAATATCCCAGGAGGTTGCAACGATACGTCTTTGTTGTTCGGAAATTCGCGTAGTAGAAGACAGGTAAGAATCTGCTCAACTTTCGAGCAACAAAGGCCATCTCCCAAAGGAAACGAAAAGATGAGAGAACTCCCGGAGCTTCAAAAGCACCGGTGGCTGTTGGTACCACTACATCACGTACGTGTAGCTCTATGGAGCGACTTCCTTGGAAGATCTGTGATTGAGGTCCTTCCAAACCGGGATGCTGAGACACCCTTCGAAAGGATTCATCATATGATCATTCGTACTGTTACCTGGTGTGACTGGATGTTGTGGACTGACAACTCTGCCAGATCAGGAGTCAAAATAATGGTAAATGGTACATCCCTCTCAGTTATTTGTGGTTAACACGTTTAATTTTTATACATTTGAACGCTAAAACGTTGTTTAGACGCGAATTGCCAAGCGGATCCGGCGAACTCATCAATGTTACAGCGACAGTCGTACTGTACCACGCACCGTACATCACTGGTACCAGGACGGTTGAGTAAAAGCTGAAAAAGTTGGATTTTTTGGTAAACTGGACTTGAAGTTCCCCAATTCTTAAACGAATTTTCTACTTTTCACCCTTATTGAAAACTGTTGAAAAGTGGACTCTAACTGTTGAAAAAGTGTTGAATAAGTAAGTGCGGTCAGGTCATTTCCAGCACGCGTCTGTCCGTCGTCGGTCAAAATGTGAGGTACCTCGAAAATTCTTTTATGGGCGCATCGTCTTCTTAACATATAGACCTATCCAGCGATGTATTATACATACCCCACGCACGTCTAGTTACTGAGAAATGGCTAACCGACAGATCTAACTCTTTCGGTGCGATAAAGTTGGTCGTGCGGCATTGGCCGACTCCCATGCCACTCCCACACTTTCGATGCTGTTTCCATCGAAACGAAAACAGAAATCAGCACTGCTTCCACCTTGAAGATGACACTACGACTGCCTATTTTGCTACCATGACGGACCCTAATACACCTACCAATACCACTGACAGCCCCAACAGCCTCCCTGTTTGCCCTGTGAGGAAGATCCACTCGCCGCAGTATCGAGAGACGATCTTGCGAGGCGAAAAGGCAAAGCAGCCCATCGACGTGGTACCACTGAAGAAGGAAATTGCTGATTGGATTACCGCCTACATCGAGCTTGATCACTGCGTCTCTGTGAAGAACCAAGGAAGAGACAAGGCATGCACTTGCAACAAGGATATCCCTGGTCCCGAAACCATTGAATTCACTTTCATTTGCGACTTTTTGTGGAATTTCGCCTTGATGACAAAGGAGCGGCAAACTGGATTTGTTGTTGAGTGGATCAAGTATGTCCGCCACAGGAAGAATGTTGCAGCTTGGATGATGAACAAGGGCGACCTCCAGCGCAGCTATGTCCTCCCTGGAACTGGCTACCAGGCATGCTGTCGGGACACTTTGGTCAGGTTGATTGGATTCGGCATGGAGCGCTGGTACACTTGTGTTCAGATTGCTGAAGGCAAGAAGTCGATCCATCATGGCAACAAGGGCAACCAGAGTGCAGTCAACAAGAATGTGGATGCCAATCTTGGCACCTTCTTTGTGGAGATGACTGCTTTGGCTCAGCCTCGTGCCACGCTGTTTGTTCGTGAACTTGTGGATGGACACGTTGAGAATGCAATGAGGAACACCGATGACGAACTCATGGAACTTCCTTCTGCAACCACCAAGCGCTCCTTGTACGCCCGCTATCTCCAGGACAATGGTTGGAATTACCATTACAGTTTCAACGGAACAGCTGAACAGAAAGCTAACAGCGAAATGGATCAGAAGCCAGTTGCATCATGGGCCAAGTTTCTAGATTTTTGGGGGAAGAAGCATCCCAAGTTGGTTGTTATGTCTCCAAGGGAAGACATCTGCAATGAGTGCTACACCTACACGCATCGCCACAAGTTCCTTTGTCACCAAATCCAGAAAAAGCAAGAGCGAATGGATCAACTCGCTGCCACTGATCCTCAAGGCAGCAACAAGGAAAATGCCATGCAGTCAATCCTTCCAGAGAAGAAGAAGCTGATCGAAGAACAAGAGGCCATGATCTTGAAGGCCGCGGAACATGTCAAAGCTGCAAAGAAACAGCGAGAGTACTTCCAGTTGAAGAAGAAGGAGGCACGTGAAACAATGGATCTCAATCCGGCTGATCGTTCTCTCTGTCTTGTTGCTGACTACTCGCAGAACATGGCATGCCCCCACTTTGGACAAGATCAACCCGGTGAGACCTATTATTACAGCCCTCTTGGTAGCTACTGCTTTGGTGTTGTCGACTGTGCCAAGGACGTCTTACATGCCTACACTTACAGTGAAGACATTGCCAAGAAGGGCGGTAACAATGTCGCCTCTCTTCTTTGGATGCATCTTCTTCAACAGAAGGTTCTCTCTACTGGCGAGCCTTTCAAGGAGATCACTTTGGTGTTTGACAACTGTACCGGTCAAAACAAGAACAGGATGGTGCTCCGACTCATCTTCTTCTTGGTGAAGTTAGGAATCACCAAGATTGCCCGTGCTTCCTTTTTGGTTAGAGGCCACACGAAGAATGACTGCGACAGGATGTTCAACCTGTTGAAGAAGGACTATCGCAAGAGCAATGTGTACTTGCCTACTGACATCATCGAGTCAATGAAGCATAAGCAGATCAAGCCTCAGTGGTGCGAGCATGACTGTTTCTTTGATTGGGACGCGATGGAGAACCAGTACATGAAGAAGCCAACGCACATCAAGGTCAACCATGTCTTCACGTTTGATATTGCCCAGGACGATGGCAATACTCTCATCAAACAGCTGACTCACGACGGTGTCAAGAGGTTGCAGACGATGGTAAACGCCGACTATCGCGACAAGGATCAAGCTTTCTGGCACGGTGTTATCAGCGAATTACACCAGACACCCATTCCTGCTGTTGGCATCCAAGATATTAAATGGAAAGAGCTACACGATAAGTGGGGGCCTCTCATTCCAGAGGAGAAAAAGGAAAAGTTCAAGTACTACAATGAAGATCCTGGATTGGAGCGCCGACAGAAAATCAAGGCGAACACTGAAAGGGCCAAAGCAGCCAGGAAGGATCGCAGCACCACCCAGACCAACAATAGCAATGAGGAGTAATAATCTAATAAAGATAGTGTCTATGTTTGTTAATGAGTTTCTGCCATGGTAAGCTTACTTTTGGGAGCTGGAACGCTGGAACGCTGCTTGTGAGCTTCGCAATCAACCTCACATTTTGTTTTTCGCGTTTTTCTCAAGATGCGAAATCTGGAGTCTCCGGACCATGACAGACGGTATGGGGCGGGAAATGATCTGACCGCACTTAAGTGTTGAAACGTGTTGAAACCCTGTTGAATTACTGTTGAATCGGTGGAAGTGGGGAAGTTGTTGAATACGTGTTGAATCCCTGTTGAAAAGTGTTAAATCTTTGTTGAGTTTGTGATTAAACCAAATTCAACACTGTTGAACTTTAGTGTTGAACTTTATTCAACAGTCTCTGTGCTGTTAAATCCAGAAATTCAAAACTTCAACACTTTTCCTTTCAAATACCCCGTTTTCCCCAAAGTTAACTTTACTTAACCGTCCAGGTGGTACCTGGTACCTCTCGTACAGCTCGCCTGCATCCAAGCTCGAGCTTTTTGTAAGCCAGCGGAGCTGTGAAACCTCGGCAGAAAGGTTTCAGTGTAGACGCAGATACCTCTAGCTAGTGCTGAGCTTAGCTAGCTAGCTAGAAGCAGACACCCCTACTAGTAGCTAGCTAGAAGCAGATTCCTGTAGCTAGCTAGCAGATACCCATAGGATACATGTGAATAGCTTTAGCTGTTTTAACAGGTAAAAGCAGCACCCAAGGATACTTTAAATTTTGCTGCCTTACTTGCAGTCTAACCCTACCCTTATACCTGCAGGGACCGCCGGAGGAAACACAATTTTGAAGGGGTGGCACCAAGACTGCCGAGGTAAAGTAAGTTTTCTACAGTTAAGGCCTGGCTGCTTGTGCAGGTCGAGAGGGAAAACAAGCCAGTTTCTGCCAGGATGTTTTCCAGGGCCAGACCGTAGTCCAGCAAGGTTTATGCCAAAACTCGCACATATCCTTTCAGGCCATATCCTATCAGGCATCTGATCAAATTCCTTTAACGATAAAACCGATATTATGTATGATGTTCGTGGATGACGAAGCTCATCTCGACGCCAATTTGATGCGTTCCTGGGTCAAAACCAAAAAGTGTCCTTATGGTCCGCCCACCCTCTCTCTCTCTCAAGAGCATTCGTCACAGCATTCCACATCCCCTTCAAGTCCCCAAGTTGATTCCTTCGCTACGGGCCGAGCGAAGGTTACGCTTCCGAGTCCAGAGAGAGGTCGCCACAACTGGAACTAACATCGCCACCAGTGTCCTTGACCAAACCACCAGCGTCGAAAAATTCAGTTTCGTCCCCGTGCTCTCCGACGTTGTTCTCTCCGTGCTCTTCATCGTTGTCCTCTCCGTGCTCTTCATCGTTGTCCTCTCCGTGCTCTCCATCGTTATCTTCCACAATCTCTCCAATGTTGCTTGCTACAATTTCTCCAACGTAATCCTTGTCTCCGGCTACTTCCGTAGGTTCCTCCTCGAATTCTACAACCTTCGGTCTTCCGATGATGGATTGTTCCCGCTTCTGCAGTTGCTTGTGCAGGCTGCTGCCACCCACCCAGTAGGCAATCATCTCGCCCTTGCCTAAGAAAGGAACATGAATGAGTGTATAATTCCTTGTGAAAGAAAAGATGCTCCCATCAAAGAACCTTACCTTTCACCTTGATCTTTCCTCTCTTCTTCACCTTGACACCAGGGGACTGTTCTTTCAAGAGATTGTACGAGACCTCTGAACAAAGGATTCTGTTGGCCGAAGAGTTCGATTCCATCCTGGAAGCCGTATTGACGGTCTAAATTCACAACATTGAGAAGGGCGGGTGTCAGAAACACTTCCTGTTCAACGCTTCATGAACCCGAAAGAAGCAACTCACATCTCCAAACAAGCCATAGCGAGGGTTGAGAGAACCAATGACGTTGCTTACTACAGGCCCGGAATGAAAACCAACGCGAATGTTGATGTAACCCATTTCAGGTGCATCGGGGTCAATGAGGATCTGACTGGCTTCCTTGACCATGTCAATCGCAAACTCCGCGGCACACTTGACATGATTGTGCTCTTGCTTGTTTTCCAAATTCGTAACTCCCATGTAGGCGTCCCTGGACGATGACAGGACGAGTAAAGTGTGAGAATGTGAACAGTCACCCTGCAAACATGAGCAGCCGTCGGTATCCACGCAGACTCACCCTATCGTCTCAACCTGAATGACGAGAAGATCGACACAGAGAACATACAAACATGAGATCAATTTTTCTTTGTCAAATTTGATGTACCGAGGCCGGGGCTTTGGAAACGAACCTTGAAAATGTTGTGCCGACGGGCGATTTTGTCAAAAGAAAGGTAGAGATTGTCCAGCATACAGGAGACCTTGAGTGGATCCATTCGCTGCGAAATGTCGGTGAAGTGCACAATGTCCGAGAAAATGACCGTGACGTTGTTGTGCGTTTCTGGCTCCACCTTTTTACCAGCTGCAAAGAAGGAGAATAGCAGTGAGTGTGCAATTTATGCCATTGTCGCGGAGCCATTGCAGCAACCACGAGAGTGGCAAATGTATCTTACCTTGGAGAGCATCTGCGATATGCTTGGGAAACAATTCTGCAAAGAAGGAGATGATGGGCAGTGAGTGTGCAATGTATGCCATTGTCGCGGAGCCATTACAGCAACCACGAGAGTGGCAAATGTATCTTACCATACAGCATATCTCCAGTACGTCTTTTCCTGGCGGCTTCAGTCTGCTGCTCATCCGTCAACGGTTCGAAATCATCTGAATTGAAGTCCATCAGCGTCAAGTCTAGATCTCTCGCACTGGGCCGGAAGTTTCTGTCTCTATTCCAGCATTTCTTCATTAGGTCGATCAGCTTGGGCGGTGTTGTTCCTGGAATGTCAGGACGTTTATTGATGCGTTTATCACACACTCGTTGGAGAGTCATTTTGAAGTCTTCTCCTTCGTAGGGGTTTTTCCTCGAGTAAATCTCGTAAAGTATGATACCGCAACTGTAGATGTCGCACTTGCTATCGTATTCGGTTTCGCCGCGCAAGTACTCCGGTGCAAGCCAGAACGGGGTTCCTGTGATTCGACCATCCTGCTTCGTTGACAAACCAAAATCACAAAGTTTGGCACGGAAGCGGCTGTCAGTCGGAAAAGAAGACAGAAGGCAAGAAGAAGGGTTAGCGACGGCCATGCCGACAGATACCAATCACCAGTTCGTTGGCAGTCTCCTACTCACGAGTCAATGAGGATGTTGCGAGCTTTTAAGTCACCGTGCAAGATTGGAGGTTTGGAGCTATGGAGGTATCGGAGGCCCTGTCCGACCTGTAATAAGAGCAAAACAGGCACAGTTAGACTCTGCGTTGGAAGCAAGCAAAGCACAGCCACTGCGTAAGATAACTTACACTCCTGGTGATCTGTGAGATGATTTCGCCGGTAAGATACATTGTCTCGTTCCTCAAAAGATCGTGGAGGGATCCGTAATCCATGCTGTAGAATGGTGAAGAACCGATCTTAGTCAGCTTCTGTATTTTCCCCTTTCAGAGATAGCTAAAACAGGGAACACGGATACTTACTATTCCATGACCAGCATTGGGACGTGGTTGCGGGAGATTACTGGGACGGGAGGGAAGAAATTCTCGACTTAGATGTCATTGTAGAAGTGCCGGCTCCGTTTTCTTTGTTTCCTGTGCTTACCTGCTCCCATCACAGTCGTGATACAGGGATGACGGAGGAGAGAAAGGACTCTCATTTCTTTCACGAACTCTTCTTGCCGTTGCACATTTTCATTGAACCAGGGGCAGAACATCTCATGGAAGGTCTTCCTCGATGCAGAAGCGCTGGCATTTCCCAATATAGTCTCCTTGAAACGAGCCTGGTAGTCGTTTTTCTTCATCCAAGGACACAGCCACGCCCATTTGCTGTTTCCTCCATTATGATAGCCACCGAGGAAGGTGAGAGTAGCACCATCGTACCTCCGACTGAGTGCAAAATTACTGCCGGTATTTGAGTTGAAGGCTTTGCCACTCTCAACATCAAACTTATTGTCGCCTGATGACTCCTCGGTGCGACAATCGGAGAGACCATCGTCGGTTAACATCGACGGTCGAGTAGCGATTTCCTCGGGTTCCGCAATAGCGGAATCTTCATACGAAACCGAGCGCTTCCCGCTTCCTCCCTTCGTCGAGCCTGAACCTTTCCCCTTCACAGCCTGTTTGATGGCCACCTTTGTTCCACGATACTCTGCCAATAGCACAACGCCAAAGGAGCCTTGTCCAATGACCTCAACCGGGTCGTCGAACAGGAGTTCATTGATATCGACTTTCCACATTTCATCAGCCTTGTGGTTCTTGTACTCAATGTAGGCAAATATGAGCGAAACTATCAGGATAAACCCAGCGACGGAGCCAACAGCCGCAAAAATTGCAACGTCGACACAAGTGCCGTTGATATCGACAGTGTCTGACTTGCAGACACAATCTCCCCATTCCGTTGCCACCTTTCCTTCACCATCACAAGTTTTCTCCGCGACCTCCACGCGAATTGGTGAGTCGTAAATCTGTGGGCAGCATGACCAGTTAGGAGAGAACGTAAACAATGCATGGTCCGTTGGGATAACAATCGGGCAGAACGCTTTCTTGGACTCACCTCAATATCGTCAATTGCAATTGCGACAATAGCCATGCCCATGCGGGGCTCTGTAAGCTGGAACTCGTACGTCCAAGGCCCCACTTCGACGACTTCCAGATCCTTGCTTTGTTCCCCCAATGATTGTATGGCCGCGACCTTAGCTCCCGTTCTCTCCATGTGGTCCACAATTCGAAACGTGATGACTTGGGTTTGTTCGACAGACCCACAAGTTTTCATTTTCTCGCACATGGTGCTCTGTGTGGCATTACTTCCATACTCAAAGACATCTACGGCCACGGACCTGTGGATACAGGGTTTGCAGTAGCACTCAAAGTCGTGCGGACACTCCAACCCAATCCTTGTACACGATTGTGCAAAGTGCTTCTCCAGGATCTTGTAGTATTCATCAGGACAAGCAATATCATGGTACAAGGTTTGTCCTCGAATGCAATGCCATTTCCCGTCGTCCCATTCATTCAAGAAACCAGCCTTTTCTTGCTTGGTCCGTACGGAGAAGTAGTTTCGTGCTGGTCGGAATCCAGTCAACATACCGGCCGTCTTGCAATCCTGGGCGAGATCAGCCAACGCGGGAGTGGTCTCACAACGGAGGTTCTGTTGAAAGTCGATTGACATGGCATGATCTTGCAGAGCCAACAAGGCTTCTTGCACGGATTCCGCGACACTAACTGCCACATGATTGAGCGCTGTGACGGGCCACTCGGGGTGCAGACTAGTGGAAGATTTGAAGGGGAACAAGCGTCCATCGTGGAGACTGTGAGTCTGTGCATTGATGACCTTGAACATACTAGGGTCCACTGGCTTTCCCGTGTTGGCATCGATATGGCGTTCAATCTGATCGGTTCGGCACAGTCCAATCTCAAACTCTCCATCAATAACGCCTTGTACCACAAGTGCTTCATCGATGGTAAAGACGACTTGCTTGGGGTCATTCACGTAAGATAGTCCCTGCCTGACCATTTCATAGAACTGTGCTTGGCCACCTCCCATTGCGGTAATGCCACCCGCTCCAATGGTTCGGTCTTTGAGATCATGAATGCTATTCACCTCGTTGTTATCAGCCAATGTAAAGATCACGCCTCCATAGAGATCCAAGTCGTATTCATGGCCCCGAGCTTCCCTCCGGGAAATGACCGTGACGAGAGGTTGTGCGTCGTATTCCGTGGCCATACAAGAGGAGACAGCGGAACTGCCAAAGATGAAATCCACCTGTTCGGCTTCCGCCATCTCCGCGAGCTGCGTCATGCTACCTGCGACCATGTCAAACTCGACCGGAGGATCAATCTTTTGGCCCGCCGTGGCGGTCAGGTACTGACCAAACGTCAGATTGTAGTTTCGAAACGCAATATCATCTCCTTCGCTCGAGAAGACTCCCACCACGTATTTGGGCTTGTGGACCAGATGGTTGTAGTTGTTAATGATGGTTGTGCAGTTGTTGTCGTCTCGCTGCACATAGATATCCGAGCTAAGAAGAAGAGGGAGAGGAGGAAAGGGTCAGCAACAAACCAACCAAACAATCGGTCGGTCATCTTCATTCATACAACCAGATAACACCCCAACCAGATACCCCTTGCTACCCCCAACACACCCGATAACCTGATAACACTCGGCGCGGTTGTCACATACCTGTATCCGATCAGAGGGGTATCCTGGCCCTCAATAAAGAAGTAATCTTGACCCGCGACAGCACTTATCAGGGTAGCGGCGACAAAGACCGGCAAGATCGATGCCTTCATGGTAATTGCGCGGCGGTTTGGCATAAAAAAGAGTTGCTGTCTGCTACCACCACCAATGCAATCGTCGCTCAATTGTGAGGCTCTGCGGTCTTCGACGGCTCAACTCCAAAGGCGGAGTGCTTGGTTTCGTCTTCGTGGCGTTTCCCTTTTCAGTGGTCAAAGTTATCAATATCCTCCGTGACAACAAATTCAGAGGCGAAGAGTTTCTTCCCAAAATGAGCCAAGGAGAAAACGGAGGTGTGGCTTTCGTGCTTTACTCTAAGAAACTACATATGGCGCCTGAGATGCGCCTGCTGGTTCGGAGAAATGCGAGCCGGTCGTAGCTTGAAATTAGCGACGACACGGTACTGTTTGCTGGTACACTGTACGTCCGGTACGTACATTTTCTGCAACAGTAGTTGCACAGGGTCAGTATGTGCTTCCCCCACTACTATGTGGATCTTACATACCCTAGGATCAATGACAGTATGCTACGTAGAAAGTCTACAGTATCAGTAGTCATTGAAACAAAGATCCTCTCAATAAGACTCTCATTATTAAATAAACTGCAACAGTGAAGATATAACAGGGGCGAATTGCATACATAAGACCAATGCACATACTGAGAGGATTCCAAAAATCGCTTAAGTACCACACAACATACCCACACATCCCAAGGGGAATCCATGAGATCCGATCCAACCGTTGTAGGTACATACTCAACAAGCCAAAAGATCCAATCGTACGATTGACCGTTGCCAGTGCAGCATACTCAGTGAATCCCGTGCGGTAAAGAGGCAAACAACGGGCATATCCCATGGAACTCGATCGTCTCCTGTCGACAGGTAACCAGTTCAGTTTTCCTCACTTTCAGCTCATTATTTTCAATCCTTCTACTTTGTAAAGGAAACTCTGCCGAAATTCCAGCTCAAGCTCACCAAACCAAAATTGCTTAGTTGACCTAAAAATTCATCACCATGGCCAACAATGCCAATGCTGGAGCAGCCTTGGGGTTGGATGACGTGCCGGATTTGCCTGAGCACCCACGGAACAGCCCAAGTACAACCGGTGATTAACATCGTCTCTTCGGGCAATTGTCATGAGCTGGCTGCAAAAGAGGACGTACCACCAAGGCGGCTCGCTTCCAACCAGGCTTTGGCCGTGCATCCAACACACCACTTGCCGACTATTGAAATGCGTGCGTATGGTACGACCGATGTTGACTTCAAAGACCTGGAGCAGAATCCAACTTGCCGGTCCTCACTCTTGAGCAAGACAAGAAGGCTATGCTCCTCTACATGCCATCAAAGGTGCCACAAATGGAATGGGAACCTCCGGCGAATCCAACCAAAGTCCGAACCTGTGAACGAAGTGGTCAAGGAAGTCAAGGAGAGCAGGAGGAGACTCAACACCGCGGGAGGAAGTCCTGTGCAACCAGGATTTGACGGAAACTGAGTATCGAAAGGTGGTCCATGAACTCTACGGCAAAGGGAGCTTTGAATCGACCATCCGTACAGCCTGCATGTTTGAAGCAGCAAGTCCATCTCATCACCAGGACGGACGACATCTCAAAGTTGAAGTATTCACGACTACAAGCCGCATCCAGACTTCCCTTTTGCGCTAGTGCAAGGTGCATTGGTCCAAGAATATTTCGGAAGAACGACAATGCCTGACACAAATCATTCTTGGGTCGATGGATACCTACTTTTGTGCTATGCTCGATTGGCGAATTACATGGAGGCGTCCTCAACTACGGGTATGGCGCCGCTGGTCGGGAGAGTGCATTCCTCTTTACTCCGCAAAAGCGATCCTAAGTTAGGCTCCCAAGCACTGCAACGCAGCCTACGCAACATTCCTCAAGGCTGTCTTTTTGTCGGCTCCTATTTCTTGCTGTGGCGCTCCTCATTGCTGGTTGTTCTTGGGAGTCACAGCATTCGGAAGTTTGCTGCAACTCTGGCAAGAGGCATGGGTGCTACTGCTGACGAAGTTGAAATTCGATGTCGCTGGAAGGCTCGCTTGTCTGGACGGGTTGTTGTTGCCTAGCATTTCGCCTGAACAGCGCCTGGATCTGACGCCGTGTTGCCGAAAAGATCTTGCATGGGGGCTCCTATTGACTACAAGCTACACCCGGATGCCAAGTGAGAAGTGACTCCGACTGGTTTATTGAGCATGTGGTGCCAAGGACGCATGCGTTTTACTACGGTGTCAACGACATTTAGCTTCACTTGGCTCTGCCTTTTTTGTGGGCTGCTCTTGACGAATCTGGGGAGGAGAGATGATGGAGCCTCCCGTTCGTGTTAGGATCCAAGATGCGTAAGAGCGCATCAAGGCCGATGTTCCTGTTGGCGTCAAACCTGTGGTGAAAGTGCCTCTCTCTATTTGTACGCACAACACCAAGCTCCACCTCAACGAAATCGAGCCGATGGATACGGGAGGTGGCGGTGGCACGGCTGGTGGCACTACGGGAACGACCGGCAAGGCAAGCACTCGTCAAGTTGCCAATCAGTGTCGGCAGGTGACGGCTATGCAAAAGCAACAACAGGTACGAACGAACGAGGAGATTCTGAAAAGGATTATTGCGCAGCACAACCAGCTCCAGCAGCTCATTGCGCAGGAAGGTAGGACCAGCGACAGTTCGGCTGCTGCATTGAGAGGCTGGTTGGAGAATTGGCTTGGCGCGGAGCTGACGAAACTGAATGGAAATATTTGCAGGTAAGTGTGGACTTGTGTCTGTTGGCTATTGCAACCATGGCTATTATTGCTGCTAACTCTATATTTTTGTTTGCTTTTAGGATTGCTGTTCAGCCTCCAAGGATGGCAACACCTGATCAGGTAGATGGTAATCTTTTTAGAAATGGGTTGACTGTGGAAAGGACTCGCCGGAATGGCCAGACTAGCCTCAGGTACAGACAAGCTGTGGCCACCACCCCTGCTGATAGTAGGCCTGCCAAGCTAGCCAAGTACAGAACTGTTGGCTCTGCTTGGTAAGAGTGGATGCATGGTATTGGTGGCCACAAGCCAGCCAAGAACTTCACTGCTGATGATATCAGGGCTTGCAAGTCAACCTACTCAAGGAGGAAGCCACTCTGGACTCTCATTGCTACACTTGTCAATGCTTAGAAAGCTCCAGCTTGGGGTCATCTCCAAGATTGAGGAGCATTACAAAGGAAGTGTTTTGAATATTACTGCTGCCATCAAGCAGGACACCATTATGGGCAGTCTGCATGAGGATCTTTGTATTGTTCGTGCTCAGTAAAGTTGACCTTAGTTTAATCAGCATGGTAGCCATGCCTAATAGTGAGTTTGTTACATGGACTTACTTGACTTTTTCGTTTCGTGGACTTGTTGTGCTTTTCGAACGTACGCTAGCTAGCTACTACTAGCTAGTAGCTACCGCTAGCTAGCCTACTACTAGCGAGCCAGATTCCGAGGACTTGTGCGTTTTCGAGATAATAGAGGTGCGACGTTATCTTAACAGTGAGTAGTAGAGGTGCGAACCTCATTTTTCTTATGTGCGAGGACGTGACCTCCTCACTGGTATTAACGAACTGATCAACCAAGCATACACCAGGTGTTGGGTGTACCTTGATACCTCGATCGATAGGATGGATACATCCAGTAGGATCCCCTACTACTCGTACAGGCTCTCAGTATTTCTCTCAGTTCTGGGATATACTTTTACGGTACAGTCGACGAAGACTCAAGTTGCGGCCTCTGCTGGCAGCTGGCCTCTGTCACCGTGAGATTCCCAGGCGACGATTCTTCGCGCATTATTAGACTCACTTATAAGAAATTAAAGATTTGATAGAGCAGCAATTGTACCCAGAGCAGCTGTCCTGGTCCTCCCTGGTACTACGACTATGCATACCGGTACACCGGTAGTGACAGTTTCTTGCTGACTGTTATAGCTCTTGTACCTTACAATAGCTCAATAGTTTTTGCCCTCAATGATCCATGCCCTGGCCTCCTTATCATTGCCCGTTAAAGATAGATGGTGACGGGGCCACTTTGCTTTTGCCAAAAACTGCAGAATTGGACATGCATGATTCTAAAGCAAAGGCTTAGTCTGATTAGCTAATGTTACGTTATTTGCTGGTACCGGTAGTGGAAGTGTTTCTTGCAAAGTGTTGCTTCTGTTCCGTACCTGCCTGATACTGTAGAGGTAGAGATTACAAAAATCATACAGTTTAAGCAAAAAGTGACTGAATACAATAAGTTCACTCACAAATAAAACACGCTGTGGTAACTTTTCGGGTAGTCTCTTTTTTTCACCATGGGAATCATCACTGCTTGGGCTATTATGGTACTTATGAAATGCTGGATTGTGTTGGCAGGCTCTGTTGATTCCGTTGCATCAGTTCGTCAGTTTATCCGTTGATTCTCTGGATTGTTTCAGTATTTTGAGTTGCTCCCTATTGCACAGGCTGCAGTGTCGTGTCCCGAAGGTATTGGCAGTGCTAGCTGATTGGGTTGCCTTGCCATAGGATGCTTGCTTCAATGCTGTTTCTTTGAATGCCTCGATTGAGTCTGAATGACGATGGAGGCAGGAAACTGTCTTTCCTACCAATCCGATGTGCACTTTTTGTAGAGAAGTGGCATAGCATCATAGAAGTGTTGGGAAATCTGGTGTCTCCCATTGCAAAAATTAAATACTCACGTACAAAAGTACTAGTAGTCATCTTAGCTAGAATCTTATATCCAAGTTTGGAGTAAAAGGAATCCACATTCTCGGAAAGTTCAAGCTTCGCATCATCCTGTCCCCGCTCGCCCAATAAATGTCTCCGTTTAAATTTTTCGACGCAACGAACCCATTTTGCTAAAATAACACACACCTACGTTTTTTTAAGAAATAGAGGTTAAATTTTAAATTTTATTACCTCTACTAATCTAATCTCGCATGATACGGTAGCTAGCTAGGCATGATTCATCTCAGATCCTAAATTGGAAAGATAGATCTGAGATCTGAAACATAATATACATGCCTCTGTCAAACTCGTCAGGTAACTTTTTGACTGCATGTCAAATTCGCGCGTCCATTATGCGCGTCATATCGATGCGTGTAATGTCTATTATGCGCGCATAATGGACTTCCTGTCATAACTATAAAGACTTAAAGAATGTAAGACTGCCACATCAGCAGACTGCTCTCTCTTTAGGCCCATCGTGGAAGCAGGCCGTGCCTCCATGCAGTTTGCAGTACCGTACTGTAGCTTCAGTACTGAAGTGGTAACTGACTATCGAACGTAATGCCGCCAATGGCGCCATTGCAGTTGCTCTTGTTGCTTTCATTGCTTGCTTGTGTTGCTGTTGTTGCTGTTGTTGCCATGGCTACTGCTGCTCGCCTCATTGCCAATGCCTTTGCTGCTGCTGGCCCTGCCAATGCTAATGGCGCCGCCAACAGTGGTGGCACCAATCCAGCCCACTCAGATGATGTAGCACTGATTGGCAATCTGGAGAGAATGGTGCTAGAAATGAGGGAAGAAGGGCGACCAGAGACTAGCAAGAACGTGCTAAGACCCAAGATATGGGAGTTCTTTCAGTTCTGCAAGTCAGTGTATCCCAACAGTCTCTACAAGTACAACTTGAGGTATGACAAGGTCTACAGTTTTATGTTCTACCAATGCTATAGAGAGAAGAAGGAGACAGGTTTGACCAAAGCCAAGAGAGCCATTCCAGTGGAACAGCGCCAACACTTTGATAGGAAGGACTATGATGAAGTGGTCGCCAAGTACAAGGACACAGCAACATCAGAACAGGAGCGTCCTGCACCAAAAAATCCCATCAGTGTGCACACATATGATCAGTATGCGCAAGTGATCAGGAAAATCTATCTTGTCCAGATTACTCTCACCCAAACTGATCCTAACCTTGGAGTAGACCAATGGGATCGCATATGGCAAAAGCAGAAGTTCAGTGAGCTGCGAGCACATGTGAGAGAGCGCAAACCCTTGGCAGACAAGGCCAACTACAAGGAAAAGATAACAGGGGAGTTTTCGCCCTATGCTATTGTTGAGCATTATGAGAAGATGGAGGACTACATGTGGAAGAAGAGTCAACATGCTAGGGGCTATCGGTCTGTGTGCAAGAGGCTGCGGCACCGGTTCTGTCTTCTTTATTTGACCTCCGGTGTGCTGCGGTCAGAGAGTCTCCATCGTGCAGAATTGAGTGATTTCCTCTCTCTCGAATTGCCGAAAGCTCACAACGACGTACACTCTCCCTTCCTCATGGTACACCAGATTCCCATTGGCAAAACAGCCACCAGAGGCCACAGACAGTACGGGAGAGCGGCAAGACATAAGAATGTTGACTGCTGTTCGGTTGGTGGATTTGCTTTTTACTTTCTGTATAGGCTACATTGTACCGGTGAATTTGAAAACATGGGCCTGGAGGAATGGAAAGACAACAGCCAATGGTTCGACATCAAGCTGCTTATTGACGTTGGTTCTCCAGGAAACCACAAGAAGGAGATGCAGAATGATAGGTAAGTTTTGCGTGTTTTGTCTCACTCCAATGCGGCTGTCACTAACACATTGTTCTCTCCAGTTATGCTAACGATATTAGAGACATGTTGAAGGATCTTAATCTATCCTGCGCAAAGATCCTACATCTTGGTCGGAACTTGGGAGCCAAGTACTTGGAAATGGGAATGACGGACGCAGAACTAATCCGACAGATGGGGCAATGGGCAAATGGTGTCTTTGACAACTCTTATAGCACCAAGCTCCCCATGGAAGCGATCAGAGCATTGGCAGGATTTATTGGTGGTCGAGATGCTCCCTATTTTCTCACTCGCAGTACTGTCGAGCCTGACAAGGACCTGCTTCTAAAAACACCTTTGAAATGGGTATATTTGGCGTATGACGCTCTTTGTGAAGCCAGTACGTCAAGCAACGGCAAGCACATGACTGCGGTCCATGTTCTCAAGTTTTTTAAAGAGATCAACCGTATCTTCCTGCAGGACGCTGCTGCAATGATGATCAAGTCCCCTGAAAGGGCCGAAGCCCATCCAATGTTCACCGAAATGGAGGTCTTTCAAACTGAGGAGTTTCAGGTGTGTAAGATGGTTGTTGCTACTGCTGTACCAATGCTCGAAACGTCTGTTAATTCTTATTTATCTTCTTATTCCTATGTCCTAAGGCATTCAAAGAGCAGATGCGACTTTCTCTGGCACAGGAGAAAGATCCACTGGATAACAATCTACAAAGGGTGCTACCAGGAGTCCACCAACGATTCGAACAAACCAATGGAGCAGTGGCGCAGTTGACTGGAAAGGTAGATACTATGACAGCTGCACTGACTGCTGGAATTGACAAACTTGTTGCCATCCACCAAGAAACCGCAGCTCGACAACAACAAGTGGATGTACGTGCTGAAAGATTAGCATGTCTGCTGGAGAAGGGAGCACAAGCTCTGCGGGGAAATCAGGAAGAGGAGTTCACCGATTTGCTTAGAGGAGCAGCTGCAGCTGGTGAAGGTTTCGAACAGCCGGACTCAATGGAAATAGAAGACATTCTACAGGCGGCAGATGAAGAAGCAGCGGCAACCACTCTACTTGAAGTTGGTGCTCGTACGACTACTACTACTACAATACCCACGTTAACCACCGGCAGATTCGGACAATTTACAGATGATGGTGGTTTGACAACACAAGAAATAGAGCTTGGCGGAACACCACACATAACAACCCCCAGTTCTCGATTTCGACTAAAGCCAAAGCACACAGACCTTACTGATCTGTGGGATGAATGGCATGGACTCGGCACTTTCTACTGCGCTATTGGTGGTGTTGCTGGCCGTGAGACGAGTATCAAGGGATGGAGGTCTCATTGGACGCGATCGCAGCAGACGCATCTGAGTCGTAATTCGGCATGCATCAAGGGCATTACTGCTTGGCAGGAACAGCACCGAATGAAGGACGCTTATGAAGCTTGCGCAGATCTACAGACAGTGTTCGCGAATGAGTGCAAGTGCACTGTGGAAAAGATGAAGCTATGGTTTCAAGCCAAAGGGATCATTCCCAAAGGAGCTCCCCGTGGCAAACAACGAAAAAAAAACTAGTTTAATCCCTCTTAAAGCTTACTTATTACATCAACAGCAACTGTTTCTTTGTCTTTGTAGTGCTTCCTGTTGTCGCCATCGAACTGTTGACTGTCAACACTGTCGACAACTGTTGCTGTAAGATACGTGTCGTAAGATAGGTGCGCTCTTTAAAATGTGAGGCGATGTACATCACATCACCATGCAGTACCGGTTCTTTTCTTTGTGAGTACCGGTTACCAAAATTCAAATTGGCGCGACAGCCCCGCTCGCTGGATCATCTCAACGGATTTCGTCGGCATAGCATCATAGAAGTGTTGGGAAATCTGGTGTCTCCCATTGCAAAAATTAAATACTCACGTACAAAAGTACTAGTAGTCATCTTAGCTAGAATCTTATATCCAAGTTTGGAGTAAAAGGAATCCACATTCTCGGAAAGTTCAAGCTTCGCATCATCCTGTCCCCGCTCGCCCAATAAATGTCTCCGTTTAAATTTTTCGACGCAACGAAAAAAAAAATAGATGAGAGATCGTTGTACTCTACCAAGTTAAAAGATCACTGTCCTCCATATGATCAAGTCGTATTCATTCCCCGACTCCCCCGGAAAATGACCGGACAAGATGGTTGTTCTCGTTATCCTCGTGGTCCATTATCATATTAGGATAATCATTTTTTTGCTGGTTAGACTGCCCTAAATTTTTGATTATATTATCCAATCTGTTTCTGGTCTCCGTTTCCATCTCCGCGAGCTGCGTCATGCTACCTGCGACCATGTCAAACTCGACCGGAGGATCAATCTTTTGGCCCGCCGTGGCGGTCAGGTACTGACCAAACGTCAGATTGTAGTTTCGAAACGCAATATCATCTCCTTCGCTCGAGAAGACTCCCACCACGTATTTGGGCTTGTGGACCAGATGGTTGTAGTTGTTAATGATGGTTGTGCAGTTGTTGTCGTCTCGCTGCACATAGATATCCGAGCTAAGAAGAAGAGGGAGAGGAGGAAAGGTCAGCAACAAACCAACCAAACAATCGGTCGGTCATCTTCATTCATACAACCAGATAACACCCCAACCAGATACCCCTTGCTACCCCCAACACACCCGATAACCTGATAACACTCGGCGCGGTTGTCACATACCTGTATCCGATCAGAGGGGTATCCTGGCCCTCAATAAAGAAGTAATCTTGACCCGCGACAGCACTTATCAGGGTAGCGGCGACAAAGACCGGCAAGATCGATGCCTTCATGGTAATTGCGCGGCGGTTTGGCATAAAAAAGAGTTGCTGTCTGCTACCACCACCAATGCAATCGTCGCTCAATTGTGAGGCTCTGCGGTCTTCGACGGCTCAACTCCAAAGGCGGAGTGCTTGGTTTCGTCTTCGTGGCGTTTCCCTTTTCAGTGGTCAAAGTTATCAATATCCTCCGTGACAACAAATTCAGAGGCGAAGAGTTTCTTCCCAAAATGAGCCAAGGAGAAAACGGAGGTGTGGCTTTCGTGCTTTACTCTAAGAAACTACATATGGCGCCTGAGATGCGCCTGCTGGTTCGGAGAAATGCGAGCCGGTCGTAGCTTGAAATTAGCGACGACACGGTACTGTTTGCTGGTACCACTGTACTGTCCCGGTACTATGTTTCTGCAACAGTAGTTGCACAGGGTCAGTATGTGCTTCCCCCTACTACTATGTGGATCTTACATACCCTCAGGATCAATGACAGTATGCTACGTAGAAAGTCTACAGTATCAGTAGTCATTGAAACAAAGATCCTCTCAATAAGACTCTCATTATTAAATAAACTGCAACAGTGAAGATATAACAGGGGCGCATTGCATACATAAGACCAATGCACATACTGAGAGGATTCCAAAAATCGCTTAAGTACCACACAACATACCCACATCCCAGGGGGGGGGGGGGGGGGGGGGGGGGGGGGGGGGGGGGGGGGGGGGGGGGGGGGGGAGGTGGGGGCGAATCCATGAGATCCGATCCAACCGTTGTAGGTACATACTCAACAAGCCAAAAGATCCAATCGTACGATTGACCGTTGCCAGTGCAGCATACTCAGTGAATCCCGTGCGGTAAAGAGGCAAACAACGGGCATATCCCATGTGAACGATCGATCGTCTCCTCGTCTCCGTACAGGTAACCAGTTCAGTTTTCCTCACTTTCAGCTCATTATTTTCAATCCTTCTACTTTGTAAAGGAAACTCTGCCGAAATTCCAGCTCAAGCTCAACCAAACCAACAATTGCTTAGTTGACTAAAGAATTCATCCACCATGGCCAACAATGCCAATGCTTGAGCAGCCTTTGGGTTGGAATACGTGCCGGATTTGCCTGGAGCACCCACGGAACAGCCCAAGTACAACCGGTATTACCATCGTCTCTTCGTCAATTCACGAGCTGGCTGCACAAGAGGACGTACCACAAGGCGGCTCGCTTCCAACCTAGGGCTTTGGCCGGCATCCAACAACACCACGTTGCCGACTAATTGAAATGGCGTGCGTATGGTAAGACCGATGTTGACTTCAAAGACCTGGAGCAGAATCCAACTTGCCGGCTCCTCACTCTTGAGCAGACAAGAAGGCTAATCTCCTCTACATCCATCAAGGTGCCACAATGGAAGATGGAACCTCCGGCAATCCAACCAAGTCCGAACCTGTGAACGAAGTGGTCAAGGAAGTCAAGGAAGCGGAGACTCAACACCGAGGCAAGAAGTCCTGTGCAACCAGGGATTTGACGGAAACTGAGTATCGCAAGGTGGTCCATTAACTCTACGGCAAAGGGAGCTTTGAATCGACCATCCGTACAGCCTGCATTTTGAAGCAGCAAGTCCATCTCATCACCAGGACGGACGACATCTCAAAGTTGAAGTATTCCGACTACAAGCCGCATCCAGACTTCCCTTTTGCGCTAAGTTGCAAGGTGCATTGGTCCAAGAATATTTCGGAAGAACGACAATGCCCTGACAAAATCATTCTTGGGTCGATGTATACCGACTTTTGTGCTATGCTCGAATTGGCGAATTACATGGAGGCTTCCTTCAACTACGGGTATGGCGCCGCTGGTCGGGTAGATGCATTCCTCTTTACTACCGAAAGCGATCCTAAGTTAGCTCCCAAGCACTGCAACACAGCCTACCGCAACATTCCCAAGGCTGTCTTTTTGTCGGCTCCTTTTCTGGCTGTGGCGCTCCTCTTTGCTGGTGTTCTTGGGAGTAACAGCATTCGGAAGGTTGCTGCAACTCTGGCAAGAGGCATGGGTGCTACTGCTGACGAAGTTGACATTCGATGTCGCTGGAAGGCTCGCTTGTCTGGACGGGTTGTTGATGCCTAGCATTTCGGCCTGAACAGCCCTGGATCGACGCTCGTGTTGCCGAAAAGATTTGCATGGGGGCTCCTATGCTACAAGCTACACCCGGATGCCAGGAGGAGTGACTCCGACTGGTTGTATGAGCATGTGGTGCCAAGTACGCATGCGTTTTACTACGGTGTCAACGACATTTCGCTTCACTTGGCTCTGCCTTTTTGGGGCTGCTCTTGACGAATCTTGTGAGGAGAGAGATGGAGCCTCCCGTTTGTGTTAGGATCCAAGATGCGTACGAGAGCGCATCAAGGCCGATGTTCCTGTTGGCGTCAACCTGTGGTGAAAGTGCCTCTCTCTATTTGACGCACAACACCAAGCTCCACCTCAACGAAATCGAGACGATGGATACGGGAGGTGGCGGTGGCACGGCTGGTGGCACTACGGGAACGACCGACAGGCAAGCACTCGTCAAGTTGCCAATCAGTTCGGCAGGTGACTGCTATGCAAACAGCAACAACAGGTACGAACGAACGAGGAATTCTGAAAGGATTATTCGCAGCACAACCAGCTCCAGCAGCATCATTGCGCAGGAAGGTAGACCCGCGACAGTTCGGCTGCTGCTTAGAGGCTGGTTGGAGAATTGGCTGTGGCGCGGAGCTGACGAAACTGAATGGAAATATTTGCAGTGTAAGTGTGGACTTGTGGCGTTGGCTATTGCAACCATGGCTATTATTGCTGCTAACTCTATATTTTTGTTTGCTTTTAGGATTGCTGTTCAGCCTCCAAGGATGGCAACACCTGATCAGGTAGATGGTAATCTTTTTAGAAATGGGTTGACTGTGGAAAGGACTCGCCGGAATGGCCGACTAGCCTCAGGTACAGACAAGCTGTGGCCACCACCCCTGCTGATAGTAGGCCTGCCAAGCTAGCCAAGTACAGAACTGTTGGCTCTGCTTGGAAGAGTGGATGCATGGTATTGGTGGCACAAGCCAGCCAAGAACTTCACTGCTGATGATATCAGGGCTTGCAAGTCAACCTACTCAAGGAGGAAGCCACTCTGGACTCTCATTGCTACACTTGTCAATGCTTAGAAAGCTCCAGCTTGGGTATCTCCAAGATTGAGGAGTTACAAAGGAAGTGTTTTGAATATTTCTGCTGCCATCAAGCAGGACCCCATTATGGGCAGTCTGCATGAGGATCTTGTATTGTTCGTGCTCAGTAAGTTGACCTTAGTTTAATCAGCATGTAGCCATGCCTAATAGTGAGTTTTTTACATGGACTTACTTGCTTTTTCGTTTTCGTGGACTTGTTGCTTTTCGAACGTACGCTAGCTAGCTTACCGTAAGGCTACGCTACTAGCTACTACTAGCAGAGATTCGGGACTTGTGCGTTTTCGAGATAATAGAGGTGCGACGTTATCTTAACAGTGAGTAGTGAGGTGCGGGACCTCATTTTTTTATGTGCGAGGACGTGACGTTCGTCCTCATGGTATTAACGATCGATCAACCAGCATACACCAGGTGTTGGGTGTACCTTGATACCTCGATCGATACACCGTAGGATCCCCTACTACGGTACAGGCTCTCAGTTATTTCTCTCAGTTCTGGGATATACTTTTACGGTACAGTCGACGAAGACTCAAGTTGCGGCCTCTGCTGGCAGCTGGCCTCTGTCACCGTGAGATTCCCAGGCGACGATTCTTCGCGCATTATTAGACTCACTTATAAGAAATTAAAGATTTGATAGAGCAGCAATTGTACCCAGAGCAGCTGTCCTGGTCCTCCCTGGTACTACGACTATGCATACCGGTACCGGTAGTGACCAGTTTCTTGCTGACTGTTATAGCTCTTGTACCTTACAATAGCTCAATAGTTTTTGCCCTCAATGATCCATGCCCTGGCCTCCTTATCATTGCCCGTTAAAGATAGATGGTGACGGGGCCACTTTGCTTTTGCCAAAAACTGCAGAATTGGACATGCATGATTCTAAAGCAAAGGCTTAGTCTGATTAGCTAATGTTACGTTATTTGCTGGTACCGGTAGTGGAAGTGTTTCTTGCAAAGTGTTGCTTCTGTTCCGTACCTGCCTGATACTGTAGAGGTAGAGATTACAAAAATCATACAGTTTAAGCAAAAAGTGACTGAATAAATAAGTTCACTCACAAATAAAACACGCTGTGGTAACTTTTCGGGTGTTTGACTTTTTTTCACCATGGGAATCATCACTGCTTGGGCTATTATGGTACTTATGAAATGCTGGATTGTGTTGGCAGGCTCTGTTGATTCCGTTGCATCAGTTCGTCAGTTTATCCGTTGATTCTCTGGATTGTTTCAGTATTTTGAGTTGCTCCCTATTGCACAGGCTGCAGTGTCGTGTCCCGAAGGTATTGGCAGTGCTAGCTGATTGGGTTGCCTTGCCATAGGATGCTTGCTTCAATGCTGTTTCTTTGAATGCCTCGATTGAGTCTGAATGACGATGGAGGCAGGAAACTGTCTTTCCTACCAATCCGATGTGCACTTTTTGTAGAGAAGTGGCATAGCATCATAGAAGTGTTGGGAAATCTGGTGTCTCCCATTGCAAAAATTAAATACTCACGTACAAAAGTACTAGTAGTCATCTTAGCTAGAATCTTATATCCAAGTTTGGAGTAAAAGGAATCCACATTCTCGGAAAGTTCAAGCTTCGCATCATCCTGTCCCCGCTCGCCCAATAAATGTCTCCGTTTAAATTTTTCGACGCAACGAACCCATTTTGCTAAAATAACACACACCTACGTTTTTTTAAGAAATAGAGGTTAAATTTTAAATTTTATTACCTCTACTAATCTAATCTCGCATGATACGGTAGCTAGCTAGGCATGATTCATCTCAGATCCTAAATTGGAAAGATAGATCTGAGATCTGAAACATAATATACATGCCTCTGTCAAACTCGTCAGGTAACTTTTTGACTGCATGTCAAATTCGCGCGTCCATTATGCGCGTCATATCGATGCGTGTAATGTCTATTATGCGCGCATAATGGACTTCCTGTCATAACTATAAAGACTTAAGAATGTAAGACAATCAGCAGACTGCTCTCTCTTTAGGCCCATCGTGGAAGCAGGCCGTGCCTCCATGCAGTTTGCAGTACCGTACTGTAGCTTCAGTACTGAAGTGGTAACTGACTATCGAACGTAATGCCGCCAATGGCGCCATTGCAGTTGCTCTTGTTGCTTTCATTGCTTGCTTGTGTTGCTGTTGTTGCTGTTGTTGCCATGGCTACTGCTGCTCGCCTCATTGCCAATGCCTTTGCTGCTGCTGGCCCTGCCAATGCTAATGGCGCCGCCAACAGTGGTGGCACCAATCCAGCCCACTCAGATGATGTAGCACTGATTGGCAATCTGGAGAGAATGGTGCTAGAAATGAGGGAAGAAGGGCGACCAGAGACTAGCAAGAACGTGCTAAGACCCAAGATATGGGAGTTCTTTCAGTTCTGCAAGTCAGTGTATCCCAACAGTCTCTACAAGTACAACTTGAGGTATGACAAGGTCTACAGTTTTATGTTCTACCAATGCTATAGAGAGAAGAAGGAGACAGGTTTGACCAAAGCCAAGAGAGCCATTCCAGTGGAACAGCGCCAACACTTTGATAGGAAGGACTATGATGAAGTGGTCGCCAAGTACAAGGACACAGCAACATCAGAACAGGAGCGTCCTGCACCAAAAAATCCCATCAGTGTGCACACATATGATCAGTATGCGCAAGTGATCAGGAAAATCTATCTTGTCCAGATTACTCTCACCCAAACTGATCCTAACCTTGGAGTAGACCAATGGGATCGCATATGGCAAAAGCAGAAGTTCAGTGAGCTGCGAGCACATGTGAGAGAGCGCAAACCTTGGCAGACAAGGCCAACTACAAGGAAAAGATAACAGGGGAGTTTTCGCCCTATGCTATTGTTGAGCATTATGAGAAGATGGAGGACTACATGTGGAAGAAGAGTCAACATGCTAGGGGCTATCGGTCTGTGTGCAAGAGGCTGCGGCACCGGTTCTGTCTTCTTTATTTGACCTCCGGTGTGCTGCGGTCAGAGAGTCTCCATCGTGCAGAATTGAGTGATTTCCTCTCTCTCGAATTGCCGAAAGCTCACAACGACGTACACTCTCCCTTCCTCATGGTACACCAGATTCCCATTGGCAAAACAGCCACCAGAGGCCACAGACAGTACGGGAGAGCGGCAAGACATAAGAATGTTGACTGCTGTTCGGTTGGTGGATTTGCTTTTTACTTTCTGTATAGGCTACATTGTACCGGTGAATTTGAAAACATGGGCCTGGAGGAATGGAAAGACAACAGCCAATGGTTCGACATCAAGCTGCTTATTGACGTTGGTTCTCCAGGAAACCACAAGAAGGAGATGCAGAATGATAGGTAAGTTTTGCGTGTTTTGTCTCACTCCAATGCGGCTGTCACTAACACATTGTTCTCTCCAGTTATGCTAACGATATTAGAGACATGTTGAAGGATCTTAATCTATCCTGCGCAAAGATCCTACATCTTGGTCGGAACTTGGGAGCCAAGTACTTGGAAATGGGAATGACGGACGCAGAACTAATCCGACAGATGGGGCAATGGGCAAATGGTGTCTTTGACAACTCTTATAGCACCAAGCTCCCCATGGAAGCGATCAGAGCATTGGCAGGATTTATTGGTGGTCGAGATGCTCCCTATTTTCTCACTCGCAGTACTGTCGAGCCTGACAAGGACCTGCTTCTAAAAACACCTTTGAAATGGGTATATTTGGCGTATGACGCTCTTTGTGAAGCCAGTACGTCAAGCAACGGCAAGCACATGACTGCGGTCCATGTTCTCAAGTTTTTTAAAGAGATCAACCGTATCTTCCTGCAGGACGCTGCGCAATGATGATCAAGTCCCCTGAAAGGGCCGAAGCCCATCCAATGTTCACCGAAATGGAGGTCTTTCAAACTGAGGAGTTTCAGGTGTGTAAGATGGTTGTTGCTACTGCTGTACCAATGCTCGAAACGTCTGTTAATTCTTATTTATCTTCTTATTCCTATGTCCTAAGGCATTCAAAGAGCAGATGCGACTTTCTCTGGCACAGGAGAAAGATCCACTGGATAACAATCTACAAAGGGTGCTACCAGGAGTCCACCAACGATTCGAACAAACCAATGGAGCAGTGGCGCAGTTGACTGGAAAGGTAGATACTATGACAGCTGCACTGACTGCTGGAATTGACAAACTTGTTGCCATCCACCAAGAAACCGCAGCTCGACAACAACAAGTGGATGTACGTGCTGAAAGATTAGCATGTCTGCTGGAGAAGGGAGCACAAGCTCTGCGGGGAAATCAGGAAGAGGAGTTCACCGATTTGCTTAGAGGAGCAGCTGCAGCTGGTGAAGGTTTCGAACAGCCGGACTCAATGGAAATAGAAGACATTCTACAGGCGGCAGATGAAGAAGCAGCGGCAACCACTCTACTTGAAGTTGGTGCTCGTACGACTACTACTACTACAATACCCACGTTAACCACCGGCAGATTCGGACAATTTACAGATGATGGTGGTTTGACAACACAAGAAATAGAGCTTGGCGGAACACCACACATAACAACCCCCAGTTCTCGATTTCGACTAAAGCCAAAGCACACAGACCTTACTGATCTGTGGGATGAATGGCATGGACTCGGCACTTTCTACTGCGCTATTGGTGGTGTTGCTGGCCGTGAGACGAGTATCAAGGGATGGAGGTCTCATTGGACGCGATCGCAGCAGACGCATCTGAGTCGTAATTCGGCATGCATCAAGGGCATTACTGCTTGGCAGGAACAGCACCGAATGAAGGACGCTTATGAAGCTTGCGCAGATCTACAGACAGTGTTCGCGAATGAGTGCAAGTGCACTGTGGAAAAGATGAAGCTATGGTTTCAAGCCAAAGGGATCATTCCCAAAGGAGCTCCCCGTGGCAAACAACGAAAAAAAAACTAGTTTAATCCCTCTTAAAGCTTACTTATTACATCAACAGCAACTGTTTCTTTGTCTTTGTAGTGCTTCCTGTTGTCGCCATCGAACTGTTGACTGTCAACACTGTCGACAACTGTTGCTGTAAGATACGTGTCGTAAGATAGGTGCGCTCTTTAAAATGTGAGGCGATGTACATCACATCACCATGCAGTACCGGTTCTTTTCTTTGTGAGTACCGGTTACCAAAATTCAAATTGGCGCGACAGCCCCGCTCGCTGGATCATCTCAACGGATTTCGT